CTCTGCAAGGACCCCCGGGCTCAGAACCTGCCTGCGAGAACCCTCTGCAGCTGTGTTGGGGTGCTCAGCCTCCACCATGGCCAGCAGCTGCCTCTGGTGCTCGGGACTGTGTTGCCTCCTGGGTGCCAGCGCTCACAGCATCCTGGGATGGAGATGTGGTGATGCTGGGGCTCTCCCCCCTGCCTGGGGACCCTGACATACCACACGCACCTTGGGGGCAGCGAATCCCCCTGTGGGCACACTGGGCCCAGTGATACCTGCACCCTTAGAAGCGAGCAGGGCTGGGGGGGGCATTGCTTGCCTAACAAGGCCCCAGGGAGCTGCGCTTGCCTCTGCTGGCACCCTCACAGCGGTGGCACATGGCAACCTCCCAGCACAGTGCCCAGGGACAAACCGTGCAGGGGACTGACACTGCCCCCCCGCCCCAGACAGCACTCCCACCCGCCTGGGCTCCTGGGTGGCAAAGCCACGGGGGGATGATGGGACACAGGCCAGAGCCCAGAGCAAGGGCCGGGGGGGCCCTCTGCACTATGGACCTGCCAGATGGGTGAGCACGGCCCCCACCATGGCCCACCCTGCCAGGGAGCTGCCAGGGCCCCTCGGTGACGGAAGAAAGCTCAGCCACAGCCTGGCTAGAAACACAGATTTATTGCGACATCAGTTTGCAACCAGCACTCAACCCTCCCAGCGGCGACTCTGGACCCGCGCGGATGCCCTGACCCCCCCATGACGCCTCTGCAGCCAGCAGGCTGGTCCCTGGGGCACAAGCGCACCCACCCCCATCCAGGCAGGCTTGCTGGGGCTGCGGGCTGGGGTCCCGCTGTGCCAGGGCCTGCCTGCGGGCTGGCAGCTTGGAGGAGGGAACAGAAGCTGGATTTGGGGTCCTTCACCGATGTAAGCCACCAGCTGGGATCTCTGAGCAGTCGCAAGGCTCTCAGGATCCCTGGGGAGAGAGCAGGGTCAAACCCCCCAAGCCTGTGAGTGAGAGGGCTGAGCATGGGAGATGCCGCTGTGTCCTCTCCTCTTACCGCGCTCCCTTGGTGCGAGCTCAGATGCTCTGGGGAGCTGGGAGAGGTGCCAGCCTGGTTCCCAGCTGCAGCTGCTACACGTATCCTGTCAGGTTGTAGGAGTTGAGCTCACTCTTGGTCTTCTGCGTCTGGCTGACGGAGGGCTGGGGGCTCTTGCCCGCCAGCAGCCGGGGCTGGTAGGTGCTCGCGTAGGTGGCCGCTGGGTCCCGGGCAGGGCAGGAGGTGCAGAGGATGAAGCCGCCGACAAGGGAGAGGAGGGAGGAGATGATGCCCAGGTAAAGTGCCTCCCCGAGCTCGAACTTCATGCTGTCAGGGAGGACGGGGTTGTGGAAATCCCGCAGCACCACATGGATGTTCCACACCAGCGGGATGAAGCACAGTAGCCCCCCGAGGATGAAGACCGCGCCACCTGCCACCGCGACCCGGTCCTTGCCTGGCGAGCCCTGGCTGAAGACGGTGCACCTCATGCCCACGACGGCGAGGAGGCAGGCGACGGAGGAGACAGCGCAGGAGCTCACCATCAGGGCTTGGGCTGCTTGAATGTCGGCGGGCAGGTTGAGCAGGGAGCTGTAGATGTCGCACTGGGTGATGCCCGTGCTGTATGTGGCGCACTCCATCCACAGCCCCTTGGTGAAGCCCACGGCTGTCACGATGCTGGAGCCGATGTAGGAGCTGGTCTTCCAGCTGGGCAGCAGCGTGGCCGTCAGTGTGCCGATGTAGCCCAGGAAGGCCACGGCATAGCCCAGCAGCTGGAGCCCCATGGAGACCATGGTGGGGGCTGGCTGTCACCTTGCCAGGGCTCGTGGCTTCTCGTCCGGCTCGCCTGCGGCTTGCTCCTCCACGCTTACCTTCCCATGGCCCTGCTGGCTGCTCTGCTTGCTGCACTGCAGCTCCACCCCGCTCCCGGGGGTGCTGGTTTTCTGCGGGCACTGGCACGTGGGTGGGAGCTGAGGGGAGGAGAGGTTACCTGCAAGAGTGGAAAGCAATCCCTCCCTGATTAACGATTGACCCAAGCCTGTGGAGGAGTGCCAGGTGCCCTTTCACCTCTGCTATCTCCCCAGCCAGGCTTCAGAGGCAGAGCAGCACTGCCTGGGAAGGACGCCAAAGCCCTCCCTTGCGCCGTGGCCATGGGCAGGGATGGAGAGTCAGCCACTGGCAGGGGGAAAGTGCCTGCTGCCTTCCTGGGGGTCCTTTGTCTTCTGTGATGTCCTGAACAAAGGAAGCCAAAAAGCTATGGCTGTGCCATGTTATTTGGGACCTGCCGGAGGCGACTTCAGGTGGTGTCCCTGAGGCTCCCCCAGCTGAGGAGGGCGGATTGTGCCTTTTCCCCATCTGCATGAGGCTCACCCAAGGCATCTGCAGCCATCCACCACCCACCCTGAGCTGCCGAGGCTCCGGCGGCACAATGGGATGTGCCTACCTGAGATTGAACCATGACTATTGGCCTTTCTGTGCCGCTGGGGACAATGATGGAAAGGGATGCATGTGACAGTGACGCCTGTGTCCCCAGGAGAGCCCGGAGCTCCACAGAAGGCAGAATTACATCAGGGCAAAGCATGCTGGCAGCACCTCAGGGATGCTTCCCTGGAGCGCCCTGGCCAAGCAGGGTGACCCATCCCTTGGTGAGGTGAGCAGACTGGGGTGCAGCTTGTGCTCACTGCCATCAGCGAGGGGTTTTCTGCGGGTGCAATCTCCTGCCTGCAGCCCTGGGTGTGGGTGGGGGGGTTGGCAGAGGTGGTGGAGTGGGGTGGTTTGTTTTCCCTCTGTCTTGTTTCAAAATTCTCTCTCCTGTGGCATCTTGCGAAACCAGACCGAGCCCACGCCACACCACACACACACCGGAATGCTCCCGGCTGAGAGTGCTGCCACCACCCAGCACCTCTTGCTCCTCTCCCCGTCCCCTCACCGGCACCTCAAATGCTTGGTACCAAAGTTTCCCAACTTTCTGTCTCCTTTTCTGTGCGCTAACCAAGACGTCCCACTCTGTCTCAGGGGTGTTGCTGCAAAAGAAACACCAGGGTTGCAGCAAAAAAGCACGGGAGGGTCATGCTGGAGCTCTGCGGTACTTACGGAGGCGGCTGGAGACGTGGTGCGGGACAGAGGGTGG